GATGGCACATAACAACAACAGTAGGGTTTCAAAGGCTGTAAATCTTTACAGCAGCAGATTGCTTCATCTTTCTGCCATGGAAAGGCTGGTGGGCTTAATTAACCACTGGGCAACCAGGGCTCCTCCTAATCCCTATACCAGTGGTTATAATCCCATTTGAGATTTTGTTATGTTAACATGGCAGTATTACTGTAGAGTTTTAAATCAATCTCTTTTGAGATATACAAGAGCAGGTTAGGCCAGCAGAGATGGAAGTAGATGCCATGCCATACGAAGATCACCAAGGAGCCAAGGGACAGATGCCGAAGAGGCAAAGACCTTCCTCCATGGCAGACAGAGAGCCTTCTCCTAGCCACAGCACCCTGAATTAAACTTCAGCCTCCTAAACTGGGAGAGAAAAGATTTCTGTTCATTAAAGTCATCCACTTGGGCTATTTCTGTTGGAGTAGCATTAGATAACCAAGAACACAGTAAAGACAAATCTAAGGAGGCTACTTAGTACTTTGTGGTCAAAAGGCTCTGTAAAACTGCCATTTAAGCTGAATTCTGAATAAGAAGGAGCCAGCCATAAGACAACCAGGAGGAAGAGCATTTGAAGTAGCGAGAACAATTAGGGCAAGGGTCCTATGGCCGGATCAAGCTTGGCATTTTTAGGGAACCAAAAGAATGGAATCTGGCCAGAGCCTAGAAGGCTAGTGGTGCAAGATGCAGTCAGTGAGGTACGCAGGGCCAGTCTGTGTGTAGCTTGGGAACCTCGGGTCTTATCCACGTCACATTCCTGATGCCTAACACACACACTACACAGCACTCTCCTCACCGAATATCTGCTGCAACAACCACTGTCCTAACATTTCATTTTTGTATTGGAAGCTCTGAGGGGCTGTGGCCTGATAAATAAGTTTGGAGGAGGGGGTCCAGAACAGCAGTCTCATTTCTGAGACAGTCCACCCGTGGTACGGCTTCCTAGCTGGCAACCTCGTCCTGCTGATGAGCAAATACTGCCTCTGTGTTAGGTGCTCTATGGCAAAACGCGAATTAGAGACAATCTGGACTTCTGAACGCTCTCCAAGCAGCAGCTGGCAAGAGTCGCTAAAAGGGGGTCAATGTTTGACCTCGGGAGCGCTCGAGTTTCGGCCCACGGTTCCCGCATCGCCAAGACCCACGGCAGCATCCAGACTTCTCCGCCCGAGCCTAGAAACTGTGGTTCGCCAGCCCTCAGGCTCTGAAATGCTTTCGGACTGACCACGACTCCGGCCAACCTCGTCACCTCGAACACTTGGTTACCTCTTCTGCAGATCCCTAGCCTTCGTCCCCCAACAGTCCCTGACTTCTGACCTTCTCGGCATTCTCAAGCCCTCATTTCTTCTCCCTCTAGCCACTCTTGCCCCGTCTTACATTTTCTTGGCCACATCCGTCTCTCGAAACTGCTCCTTCACCATGGTGACGACTGTGAGGGTCCCCTCCTCGGGACTCCGGGAGTTGGTTTAGTGAACTATGCTCCCTACAACTGTCCAAGCGCTTCCACACTCACTCCCTGCTAACAAACCGCCGGCATCCTCCCGGCCACCGTAGGGCGCCCAACGTGCCGGCTTCCTCTTCCGCTAATTGCCGGTGCGTCTGTTTGTCAAGAGAGGCTTTGGCATGCAGCTTTTTGGTCTCTCTATGTGTACTGCCCCCTCGCGGCGTCTTCCTGGAACTCTACTGAGTCCTGAGTGTTTTTTTTTAATTATTCCATCTCTTGTGCGTTTTTCCAGGTCTTCAGACACCTGCAGAGAAAGTAAGAACCTATTGCTTCAGGGCTGTCAGGCAGCCATAGAGCCAAAATTTGCGTTACATGGAAAATCATGTCATTATCTAGATCAATACCATCTAAATCAAAAGCCTCTACGATCAAACCCACGGCCATAGAGTCAATTCCAGACGATATAAAACTGTCCCAGCTGTAAATATTTACAGAAGCCCACTGCCTCATCTTTCTCCCGGAACGTCTGATGAGTTCCAATTGCCGACCTTTTGGTTAGGTTAGCAGCCGAATGCTTTAACCACTATGCCACCAGTGTTCCTTTCTTTGAGGGCAGATGTATATAAAAATAAAGAGCTCTGGTGGCATAGTGCCTGAGGCATTTGACTGCTAACCAGAAGGTTGGCGATTCAAACCCATCAGCCACTTTGTGGAAAGAAGAAGACTGGGCAAACTACTTCTGCAATGATTTACCGTCTCAGAAACCCAAAGGGGGTCATTATGGTCAGGATCGACTGGATAGCAGTGAGTTTGGGTTTTGGTTTTGCACACCAAAATGAACCAGCCCCAAGAGCACAAGGAACCATCTGGAGGACACCAGCGGAAAGCAGCAAAGCTGAAAACGTCACCTCCAGTTCATACAAATATTTTGAAAAAACTCCATCAGTTAGGAATCACGTTGTTGTTGGGGGAGAATAACCACAGTGCATGCCTTCCGCCGCTAACCCTTAGTTACCTCTTCTGCAGATCCCCGGCCTTCTTCCCCCAACAGTCCCTGACTTCTGACCTTCTTGGCATTCTCAATCCCTCATTTCTTCTCCCTCTAGCCACTCTTGCTCAGTCTTACATTTTCTTGGCCACATCCTCTCCCGGAACTGCTCCCTTCCTCAGAACTCCCACTAGAGGCACTCACTCAGTTATGCCACGAGATCTGGAAGACAGCTACCTGGCCAACTGACTGGAAGAGATCCATATTTGTACCCATTCCAAAGAAAGGTGATCTCACACAATGTGGAAATTATCAAACAGTATCATTAATATCACATGCAAGTAAAATCTTACTGAAGATAATTAAAAAAGAGTTGCAGGAGTATATTGACAAAGAACTTCTAGAGGTACAAGCTGGATTCAGAAGAGGACATGGAACGAGGGCTATCATTGTTGATGTCAGATGGATCTTGGCTCACAGCAAAGAATACCAGAAAGATGTTTACTTGTGTGTTATTGATTGTGTAGATCATAATAAATTCTGGATAACATTGAGAAGAATGGGAATTCCAGAACACTTAATTGTACTCATGAGGAACCTATACATAGACCAGGAGGCTGTCATTTGAACAGAACAAGGGGACACTGTGTGGTTAAAAATCAAGAAGGGAGTATGTCAGGATTGTATCCTTTCACCATACTTATTCCATCTGTATGCTGAGTGTGGTGGTTAAGTTTATGTGTCAGCTTGGCTAGGCCTGGTTGAGTGGCTGGGCAGCTGGATGTAATATTCCACATGATGAGACTGGTAATCAACTCCATGGTGGAATCTACTGTGAGCAGCTGAGTAGCTGCCTTTGGGTATGTGGTCTGCTTCTCGTATATAAGAAACAGCTTTGGGAATGGTCTCTAGCTCATGGCACACTTGAACCCTGTGTGTAGCCATGTTGTTCAGCAGCCTGCCATGCTCTGCCAACCTAGAGACTTTCAATGGACTTAAATTAATGGCCTGCCATGTGGTTTGGTAACACCAGAACTGTGCCTTTTTACTTGTCAACCTTGGGTTTGTCAGTCTCAGCAGCCAGCAACTGTCTGAGTGAAGAAAAGCCTCTAGCTCCAGTGGGCCAGGAGCAGAAGGCAGAGCTGGCTTTCACCCAGCCCCTAGAGCCTGGCATTTGAACTGAGATTTCTAGCCTCCCAAACTGTAAGAGAATAAACTCCTGTTTGTTAAAGCCATCCCATTTGTGGTATATTCCTGTCAGAATGGCACTAGGTAACCAGAACACTGAGCAAATAATCTGAGAAGCTGGACTATACGAAGAAGAATATGGCATCAAGATTGGAGGAAGAATCATTAACAACCTGAGACACACTGGTGACACAACTTTGCTTGCTGAAAGTGAGGATGACTTGAAGCACTTACTGATGAAGATTGAAGAATACAGTCTGCAATGGATTACGTCTCAATATAAAGAAAACAAAAATTCTCACAACTGGACCTATAAGCAACATCATGATAAATGGAGAAAAGATTGAAGTTGTCAAAGACTTCACATTGCTTGGTTCTATAATCGACGCCAATGGAGGCAGCAGTCAGGACATCAGGTGACTTATAACACTGGGCATGTCAGCTGCAAAAGACCTCTTTCAAGTGCTGAGGAGCAAAGATGTCTCCTCGAGGACTAGGGTGCCCCTGACAGAATCCATGATATTTTCAATTGCCTCATATGCATGTGAGAACTGGACAATGAATAAGGAAGACTGGAGAAGAATTGATGCTTTTGAGTTGTGGTGCTGGCAAAGAATGCTGAAAGCACCATGGACTGCTAAAAGAACTAACAGATCTGTCCTGAAGAAGTGCAGCTGGAATGCTCCTTGGAAGTGAGAATGGCAGACTTCATCTCACCTACTTTGGTCATGTTGTCAGAAGGGACCAACCATTCCCTGGAGAAGGATGTCATGATTGGTGGGGTGGAGAGTTGATGAAAGAGGGGAAGGCCCTCAACTAGATGGATTGACACAGTGGCTGTGATGATGGGCCCAAGTATGGAAGGGATTGTGGAGCTAGTGTGGGACTGGACAGTGTTTTGTTCTGCTGTGCATAGGGTCACTATGAGTCAGACACAACTCAAAGGCACCTAATAAAAACACAACAATATGTCTTCTATTGTTTGGTGAAACCTCAGATCCCAGGCCTTCTGGCCAGGCATCTGCAATTTCCTATTGTTGGAACATCCATTATGTCGCTGGGCACTGCAGCGCTCTGTAAGTTTAAAGTAGTTGAACCAAAAAGGCATATGCAGATTTCTACAGACATTATGATTCCAAGAAAGACTGTGAGGAGATGACAAAGGCTGGTATCTTTCAGAGTACAAAGTGATACTGGAATGTAAAGAATTTCTTTGGATTGAGTTCCGTGGAAGTTGTCACTGGCCAATGTTCTGGAACTATGAAGCATGAATTCCTGGCCTAAGAAATAGTTTATCTTGGTAAATAAATAATTTAAAAAACAAATGTTATTATTATTTTTTAAAGAACTAAGCTTATATTCTTGGCTAGAAAAAAGGAAGCTGAAAATTGAGCCACGGTGAGGTTGTGAAGCAAGATGAAGGCAGAATGGAAAATGAAGATCATTCATGTACTGAAGAAATAAATTGCTTGCCTACAGGTCAATGATCCATGGGAGGTGATTCTAGGATGACATTTTATGTAAGTGACTAGCAAGGAGGATCCCTGGTTGTGCAGTGGTTAAGTGTTTGGCTGGTAACTGAAAGGTCACCAGTTCAAACCCATCAGCGGCTCCATGGAGAAAGATATGGCTGTCTGCTTTCATAAAGATTTACAGCTTTGGAAACCCTAGAGAGGGCAGTTCTACTCTGTCCTATAGGGTCGCTATGAAGCAATGGATTTGTTTTTTGGTTTCGGACTAGCAAGGAAAACACCACCACAGGGATGGGCACTGCACAACCTAGAGCTAATTCCTTGATATTTGTGAGAAACTAAATAAAACCCAGTGGAAAAATAAAACAGGGACTGGTGCCTCCTGATAGCATGTCCAAAGAACGTGAGACTCTCCCCATCCTCCCTTCTAAGGAGCAATCTGGTAGTTGCAACCATCTAAGGAGCCCTAGTGGCACAATGGTAAAGCGCTCAGCTGTTAGCCAAAAGGTCAGCAGTTTGAACCCCACCAGCTGCTCTGCAAGGGAAAGAGGTGACAGTCTGCTTCCCTGCATAAGGACATACTTGGTAAAGTTGGAGAAGCGGAAGACACTCATGATGGGTTGACACAGGGGCTACAACAATGAGCTTGAACATAGAAAGGATTGTGAGGCCCGGACAGTACTTCATTATGTCGTATATAGGGTCGCTATGAGTCATAATCAACTGCAAGGCACCCAATAACAACAAAACAAACTCACTGCAGTGGAGCTGATTTCCACTCACAGTGGCCTATAGGACAGACCTGCCTCATAGAGTTTTCAAGGCAGTAATTCTATACCGAAGCTGAAGGCCACATCTTCCTTCCGTGGAGCAGCTGGAAGATTTGAACTGCTAATATTACATTTGGCAGCCAAGTGTTTTAACCACTGCACCATAATGGCTTCTTACAACAAGAACAAGCACGGGCAATTCACACGAGCAATTCAATACAATGACGAACTCTTTTAAGTGAAGACACGCTTGCATTAAATCTAGTCAGCCAGAACTGTTCCGTTTTAGGATTGGCTAGTCCAGAATCTCAGGGGTGTGGCGAGAGGTCGATGAGGTGGGCCTTCGGCACTTTTCTGTCTGGCATTGGTGCGGCCGGCCCGTCTCCCAGGCCACGCCCCCCACAGGCGCCGCCTGGGGTCCTTCCGTGAGCGTTGATATGATTGGCCGGTAAATAGTAGCGTTCTTTTTCTCCCTGGCTGCCTGACGGTTTATCGCCATCATGGTGAGTCTCCCTGAGGGGTGCTGGTATCTCCCAAATATCCGAGCCATCCTTCGTTCCCCGGCCCCCTAGTTTGCGCCACAGCTGTCCAAAGCCCAGTAGCTCTTCTTTGGCCGTGTTTGACCGGTTGCCGAAGGCCCTGGAACCAGAGGCAGGAAGTTGTGGTTGGCGGAGCTGCGCTGCAGACCCGGACGCCTGGGCCCCAGGTTCTGGGATTGCTTGAGCGGCTTCTGCGCTTGTCAGTTTCGTGGAGCACAGTGGATGGAGTGAGGACTTAGTCAGGAGGAGGCACTTCCCACCTGTAGTCCCAATTTGCGATAGGAGGCTTGCAGGTGATAGTAGCCGGAGAAGTCAATAGGGTGCCGGCAGCATCCTAGCAAATAGTGGCGAGTGAGACCGTTCACGTGTGTAAGTTAGAAAATTGTCAGCCGAAAGACTTTTTGATTCATATTAGGGAAACGGGCCCTGGCAAGGGAAGCCGCCAAAAGTCTTGTTCTAACCCGTGACTAGGTAGCTCCATTCTTAAATGTTAAGCTCTCATTTTTAGCTCCACTCCAGCCGTTTTTTCCCTTCTCGGACTCTTCACTTTCGAGAATTAAATATTGTTGAACTTGCTTTGGTGTGGGTTTAGAGACAAAATGAAAATCTATTAAGTCACTTGTTTCTGTGAGAGTCTTTTAAGTTACACTGTATGCCTACGGTAGTAATTTCTTGGTTAAAAGACCGTTCGGAAGCGAATACCATTTTCTCAGCTGTTGTTAATAGACGAAAACATTTAAGAAGAGTGGGTTACAGGAATGGGCCAGGTTTGTTGCATGGTTTGGGGATTGTAATGTTTGTATAAGCCACTGTAGTTTTTTTTGCCTTGAAGACGTTCTCAAGTGGCGGTGATGTGCCCCTAGTGAGACAGTTGGCAAAGTTTGGAGACATTTCTGGCCTTTCTAACTGGAACATGTTAAGAACATCTGGTGGGTGGAGGCCAGAGTTACTATTAGTGTACCCTGGTGTCGATTCCAATTCATAGCGATCTGTTGGACAGAGTAGAACTGCCACTTAAGGGCTGTCATCTGTACAGAAGCAGATCACCAGCTTTTTTTCTCCTGAGGAGGGACTTATCATTTAGCAGCTGAATGCTTAACCGTTATGCCACCATGTCTCCTTAAAGTTGCTATTCTACATTCTCTCACAACAAAGAATCATGGGTCCTGCAATGGTAGGAGTGCTGAGGTTGAGAAACCTTGCTCTAGGACAGTACCCCTAATTTAGAAAGAAGTAAAATTTATGGATTGACAGAAGGCAACTGAGGCTATTTTTTGGTACTTAGATTATGTGTTAGGTGTGACCTTTGGGTTTGGTAGTGCAAATTGGGTTGAATCCATGCCTTTTTCCTTTTTATTGAGGCTGTCCTCTTCATTTTTTAAATGAGTAGTAAAGCAAGTGCTGGGTTGATTGATGCTGGATGGGAGCCTGGCTAAAGACCAGCTCATCTTGCACTAAAATGGGGTACAGTGAGTGCCCCTTTTTTGTGGACTGTATTTCAGTACACCTTTTGTTACTGTTCAGTATATGTCTTTCTGTGATAAGTAATAAATTTGTTAGAAGTATCTTTGACTTCTGATAGCAAGCATTCTAGAGCATCTGTCCAGTAAAACTTTCTGTCATAAAACTTCATCTGCTGTCCAGTTTGAAATGCAGGTACTGCAACTGGGGAATTGTATTTTAAATTTTAATTTTTTTGATAGTCATCGATGTCTAGTGGCTACTGAGTTAGACAGTACAATACTAGAGGATCTTGGAAAATTACTGCAAGGTCAAGAAAAGGTTGAGCAGTTTTATTAACTGGTGTGTTTTCAGAATGACACAGTAACTATCCGGACCAGGAAGTTCATGACCAACCGACTACTCCAGCGGAAACAAATGGTAAGGATGGACATGTCAAAGTTTGGGGAACTGTTCTGTACTTTAAAGGCATTTTCCATTGTGATAAATATTAATCTTGGTATCTTCTTTTAGGTCATTGATGTCCTTCATCCTGGGAAGGCAACAGTACCTAAGACAGAAATTCGGGAAAAACTAGCCAAAATGTATAAGACCACACCAGATGTCATCTTTGTCTTTGGATTCAGAACCCATTTTGGTGGTGGCAAGACTACAGGCTTTGGCATGATTTATGATTCCTTGGATTATGCAAAGAAAAATGAACCCAAACACAGACTTGCAAGAGTAGGTATTTTTCATTTCTTCCACGGTTACTGAAGACTGTTTTTTTCCAATAGAATTGTGTTCTCAGTGTGGTTGTTGTTATTATTTGCCATCCAGTCAGACCTGACTTGTAGCAACCCTTCCTTGGGTTTCCAAGGCAGTATCACTAGGGAAGTAGATTGTCCAACCTTCCTTCCGAGGAGTGGCTGGTGGGTTTGAACCACCAGCCCTCAGTGTGGTAGAATGCTCAAAAAGAGTAAGTGGTCTATAGAGGGACAATGTACAAATACAAAGAACTCTCTTAAGAGGTTAAGAGGAAAAGTACTTTGATAAATGTATAGAGTTATGGGGGAGAGGTGCTTATAGCATCTGAGGAGGTGGTATTTGAGCTGGATCTGGAAAAAGTAGTGCTGTGGAGATGGGAAGGTTGGGCAACCTACATCCTTAGAGATATTGCCTCGGAAATCCAAGGAGGGGTTGTTATGAGTCAGATCCTACTCAATGGCAGTGAGTTAGTTTGGTTTTTGTTTGGTGGAGATGGGGGTGGGGGTGAGGCTTATTTCCTGGATGTGGAGAGGTAGGTTTGGAAAGGTAGCTTGGGACCAAGATCAGTGATATCCTTAAACAAAATACCAACCCACTGAGTATACATTTAGTTACATACATAGCTAAGAACCACAAAGAATTTTTGATCATTTACTGAGGGTGCCAAGCCTTATAGGGTAAGCTCCTTAGCTTATATTCTGGATATATAAGCAAGCATATCATTACTTTAAAATGTCTTTTACATTCTCTTTTTATCTTTTGACTTGTTCCGCTTCCTGCTGTGAGTAAAAACTATGGTGATGTGATTGGTAGATGTTGTTATTTTTAATTAAGTGGTCTGGGAAATCCCTGCTGTGAGGGGGTGACAGGGAAGCTGAGATCCTCATGAAGATTTGGAAGCAGTCTTCTAGGCAGCAGGAACTGCAAGCTCAAAGGTGGGCAAGGCAAAGATGAGTGGAAAATGAGCAGATCAGCTCAGTGTACATTGAGGGGCTAGAGCTACTGCCACTGTCAGCTGGGAGTAAGTAATAAGGAGTTGAATTAGAGGAGACTTTCAGGAGAAAGCCATTTTGGGAGGTGTCTTGCTTTAATAGTGTAAGAGAAGGAAAAATGTGGGAACATAGCTGTAGGCTCAAGGCTGGACAGTAACAGCCAGTCCCTTAACTTGCCATGCAGGGAACAACTTGTCTTCTGTGGACAACTCTCCTGTGGACTTTTTCTGTGTGAACCATTTCTTGCTTTGATGATCCTTATCAGATAGAAAGCTTTAGATCAGAAAGAGCATTTCTGAAACTCTGACATGGTCAGTTTCCATTGTCAGAGAGTGGTCAGTACTGATGACATGTTTATGTTTGCAAGTCACATCTTCTGTACAACCCATTCTGCTTTAGCATGGCCTGTATGAGAAGAAAAAGACCTCAAGAAAACAGCGCAAGGAGCGGAAGAACAGAATGAAGAAAGTCAGGGGCACTGCAAAGGCCAACGTTGGTGCTGGCAAAAAGGTACAGTATTATCAGAGAAAGTACGGAAATGTCAATAATTGTAGGTCTTAGTTTCTAGAAAGGAGGAGTTTTGTTTTCTTAATAACCTTTCTTAATGTTTCTTCTTTTCCTACTTCTTCTGGATTACAGAAGGTAATGTGTGTTTGAGAAGCTGTGTAGTATAGTAGTACCACCATAGTAGTGGAGCTTTGCCCACCCTTGTTCAGCTCACAGATTAGCACGCGAGGGCCACCTTGATTCAGTTATCCCCATGGGCTTCTCTCAAGCCCTATCATGGAGTTCTCATTCTACCACTAATTGGCACAGACCATCAAACAGGAGCAGATCTGGTTCCCTGGAATTTGACTGACTTTTTTAAAATAGACAGCTGTTTAATAAGCAGTTGAATCAACGTGGCTCATCTTTCCGTGGCACGCTAGAGATAGCTGAGATCTCTTAGTTAGCCAAAAGCTAAGTAATTGTAATGGTAAGCAGCTTTCTACCAGCTTTGCTAGCTAACTGTAAATAGTTGAATGGAATCAAGGTGTTGGGTTGCTAAATTAACAATAATTAAGTGTTCTGTGAACATCAGTTGTAACTTTGTTTTTGCCTTTTCCCTCTACTTTCTTGGATTTCTTGTTCATCAGAAATGAAGTGCCAGGTACTGAGATATTGTGAGCACGGTGTGGTACATCACCTGCACTGCATTTGCTTTGCATGTGGACTTTGGACTGTAGAGTTTTCTAGGATGGTCTGTTATAATGCCAGTGCTGTTTTAAAAACACTATAACTAAAGGAGAAAAACTTGCAATTATTTATTTTAGAAATTAAAAAATGCATGTTATATTGTGAAATGACGGGTAGAGGGAGGAAGATGGGGGTACTCTACCACATCAGCACCTTTCAGCTTGCCCTTGGGAGATGCTGTGTCCAAAAGAACTATACACCTGGGACATCTTGTTGGCAAAATGGCTTTAGTTAATGCTGGCCTTGGGGAAGGGGCCTACTCACAGAGTTATGAGCAAGCCCTTCTTCTTTGGGAGCCATGTCTTTTTTTTTTTTCCCCCTCACCAGTTGATGCTCTAGCAGCTTTGGTAATAAACTGTTCCATGAAATCTGGTAAAGCTTCTCTGTGCCCTGGTAGTGTCCACTCAAAGCCTTTTACCATTTCCATTGGTCTGTTGTTTATTGAGTCTCCAGCTTTCCATCTGGTGTCCTTTTTTAATTGAAATATTTTGAAGATATTGTTAATTCACATCAAAGCCTTTGATAAATGTACCTTTGCCTACAAGGTCAGAACAATGCACTGCCCCATTCTAAGCACATTTTGCTCATTTTAAACTAAGTGGGCTAGAGTGGAGGTAGTAGGGTAATGAAACAATGGGCGTCCCTGCCCCTGTGCTTCCTTTTACAGTAACTTTCTTCCAGACAAGGCACTTAAGCCTGGTATTGCCTGCCTGGGACTATAATCAAGTGACTTTAGTGATGTGGAGTTCATAGTAATGAATGGACTTCCAGTGGAACTGCTTACAACTGCTTCCTGTTTGTGAAGAGGTTCTAGATTGAGAAGAGGTTCAGTCAAAATTTGTCCTTTCACCTCAGTCTGAAGGACATATAGATTCTTTATCCACTCAGCCTTTGAGTCCAATGTGTTAGTGCTAGTTGGTGGCATGTACATAGGTGCTACCTGTTGAGACCAAAGTCATCACTGTCCTACTTCAGGTTTGTACTGGTGCATTGCCCTAGCAACTGAATGCATTAATGAGCCACATGTCATAACACATGTAGTAGACTAAACAGCTTATGCTCTTTGGTTCAGAGTCAGGCAACAGCAACAGTTTTTTTTTTTTCCCTCCCAGCTTTGTTCACATGTTAATATTGGTATTTGCTCTTACCTTTTGGGTGCAATAGAGTATTTTAAACTAGGGAACAGGTAATCTTTCAGTTGAAGAGCAGTATTTACTTTAGCTAATTTTTGCCTTGGTAAATCCTAGTTTGCCCTATTTTTGTAGGTGTGAGTGGTATTGAACTGAGTGCCTTTAAAAGACTTGCCTGATCATTTAGAGCTCTCTGAGATTAAATTAGACCTTGGCCTATGATTCCCAAGTCTGTTCATGGTGTTGGGAGAGTACCCAGTATGTTGCTGTTGGACAGAACAGAGGGTCCAGGGAGGCTCAGGTCTGAATACTTCATCTACATGGCAGCCTGATTAGGCACAGCCATTGCCATAAGGATCTCTTCATTGTGAAGTTACGCTCTTTTGTTTGCATAAGAGCCATAATAATCAGGCAAGGTGTTCTCAGAATGGGGAGGAATAAAAGCAGTCAGTAGAATGTTCTATACCATTGCATAGGAAAAACTGTCATCTTTAAGGGCTCTGATTGCATGCACTTAAATACAGATTATTTTGGAGTTTGAAAAGAGAGTATTAATGGAATGTTTCTTTCCCCTCTTCCTTCTTCCTTCCTTCCCTGCCACTGATTCAGTGAGCTGGAGATTGGATAACAGGTATAATTCAAGCTACTTGTTCAGATGATTAGATTTCTAGGTTTACTGATGCAGTGTATCTAAAGTAGAGCATGTGGAGTAGATTTACAAATGCTCTGAAGAGTCCTAGTGTCTTAAAACTACTAACAGTGACATGGTTTTGTTTTGAAAATTGAGTAATATGTAACACCCACCTCTTTTTTTTTAAGTTTCTAAGTGTCATTTCTAACTTGAGTATTTGAGTTTTATTTTTTGTTACTTGATCACACAAACATAACTTGATTCTAGTTTACTAATATTTGTTCTGCATTAGTGTCATTAATTTTGGAATTTGTTGAAGACTTTGAACTTGAATTTTTAAAGGTCATTGCTAAAAGCCAACTAAACTTATTTTCTTCTTTTGATTGACAGAAGGAATAAAGATTCTGGAGTGACTTGATCTACGATGATTGTGTGAATTTTTCAACAGAGGAACTAATAAACTATAATATCTTTTATGTGTCTGGTGGTTTGAAGCATATTTGAAGTTATAAAATAGTCTGCTACTGTTGGAGATAAACATTGATGCTTGGATTCACATGTTGTCTGTCTCATGAAGCATTTAGAGAAAACTTGATGTAATAGGATGATACTAGTACTTTCCCGGGGAGCTCTGGTAGCATAGTGGCTAAGTCACTTGCCTGCTAACCAGACGGCTGGCGGTTCAAACCCACCAGCCACTCCTCGGAAGGAAGGTTGGGCAATCCTACTTCCGTAGTGATACTGCCTCGGAAACCCAAGGAGGGGTCGCTATGAGTCGGGGCCGACTCGACGGCACATAACAACAACAACAACAACAGTACTTTCCGGAGCTCTGGTAGCATAGTGCCAAAGGCACTTGATTGCTAACCAGAAGGCTGGCGGTTCAAACCCATCAGCCACTCCTCGGAAGGAAGGTTGGGCAATCTACTTCCGTAGTGATACCCAAGGAGGCTCGACGGCGCATAACAACAATTACTTTCCAGTAGCTCAAAGATTTCAGGTGTAGAGTATCAACATGGGTCTGGTGTGCTCATGCTGATACTTAAGAGTGCAGTTGGTTTCTGAAAGACATTTGAAATCTGAATCCCTTTTTGACCTTTAAAAATTGCTGATCTCAATAGAAATTACAATTACTAGATCACATTTGCATAATTTGGTGTAAAACAAACAGGATGTCAATATCGTGGTCAGTGCGTTGCAGGCTTGCTTATGTGGTAAATGGATGGGAAATGTGGGGAGGAACCTTTAATGAATATTTGGATGTGGTGTGCAGTAGCTTGGTTAAATGATGGTAAATGGGCCTTGTTATTGTACATGGCTTTTATGAAACAGGTGTTCCAATTTTTTTTTTTTTTTTTGGTCAAATGCTGATTCTGATTGACTTTTTCGAGCATTAGGGTTGAGAACCTGAGCTGTGGGATTGGAATATTTGAGGGTTAGTTTTAGGGTTGCTAGGTTGGTGGAGGTGTCTTTTGAGAAGATGGGGACTATGAGTTGAAAAGCTTGGGGTGGAGGTGGGGAAGGGGCTTTAAGGGTTTTAGTTGTTTTCTTCTTGTCAGATTAACTTGACATGGAGTGGATTCCACCTTGTGGTTACCCTGTGTGTGTGAGTAGAACTATGCTCTATAGAGTTCTCAATGGCTGGCTTTTCATATGTAGATTGCCATCCTTTATGGGATGTCTCTGGATGGACTTTTAGCCTTTTGGTTAATAGCTGAGTGTTAACCATTTGCACTACCTAGGGACTTTTCATTTGACTGCTAAACAGAAGGCTAGTGGTTCAAACTCAACCAGGCACTCCTTGGAAGGAAGGTTGGGTGATGTACTTCCGTAGTGATACGGCCTCGGAAACCCCAGGAGGAGTTGCTATGAGTCAGATCCGACTCAATGGCGTTGGGTTGGGTTGGGTTGGGTTGGGTCCTGAAGGTGATGTTAGTTTGGTATTTTATTAATAAGATTTGGGTGAAAGTTCACAGAGCAAATTGGCTTTCCATTCAACATACACATTCTGTTTTGTGACATTTAGTGCAATCCCCACACTGTAACAGCATTCTTTGCAGTTCCTCCCTGCACCCATCCCTTCCCTTCCTTTGTGTTCCTATCCCCTCCCGACTTCCTAGCTCTATCCTTGGCCAGTGCTACCCTCTTGATTTCATATGCTTGGTGGCACATACCCTCCTGATGTTACTTTCCACCTTACAGGCCTGTTTGGCTGGTTGTTGAGTCATGGGGGTTAAATTCAGTTCCTAACATGAAGGGTGTCTTGGGGCTGTAGTCTAGGCGATTCTACCAGTCTTAATCTGACCAGTAAGCCTGGTCTTCATGCTTGTGAGTTTTGTCCCACATTTCCTCTGACTCTATCCAGGACCTCCTATTGTGATCCCTTTCATAGTGGTCACCAGTGGTAGCCAGGTGTCATTTTCTGCTACTGGTCTCAGGTCAGAGAGGCTTGGGTTTGTGTAGTCCATTAGACATTTGAACTAATTGTTTCCTTGAATCTGATTTTCTTCACTCTTTGCTCTGGATGGGGGAGAGATCATTAGTTGTATCTTT